TTACACTACACTACACTACATTACATTAAACTACACTACGCTAATTATAGTACACTACACTAGACTACAACTACAACTACAACTAAAACTACAACTACAGCTACACGACACTACATTACACAACACTACGCTACACTACTTGTTACACTACAACTACAACTCCAACTACAACTGCAGCTGCAACTTAAACTACACTTCAACTACAACTACAGCAACTACAACAACTACTACAACTACAACAACTACAACAACTACAACTACAACTACGCTTCAAATGCAACCGCAACTACAACGGCAACTACAACTTCAACTACACTACAACTACAACTACACTACAACTACCACTACACTACGCTACACTAGACTTCAACTACAACTACAGCTACAACTACCACTACACTGCAACTACAACTACCACTACAACTACCACTACAACTACAACTACAACTACAATTACATTGCACTTCGCTACGCCACACTACATCCTGCAGTTGTGGGTGAGGTGACCACTGCAACCACTCCAAAAATCACAACCACCCCTGCATCACAACAACTCACCTCTCCTATAGTTACCTATCTTTGAAACTTCCACCACCGCCTTGTGCGGTACTACTGGTAGATATCATTTGCCCACGCCATCCGATCCCTGAGGCAGCCACCCATGACCACGGCGTTCATGGCAATGACTCCAGCTCCGAGGCCCTGGAACCAGCCGGACTCCACCTGACGACACCAAAGAGATACCAAAGAGATACCCCAAAATACCAAAATGAATGTCTAATACATATGGTAATATATGGCAATATATGGTAATTATATCTTTGGTGATATGTATGTCTATATATATATATATATGCAATTTGTTACATTATAGCTAGCGATAAACGGAGAATGCGACAAATGATGGACACACAAGAAGAATGAATCAGGACTTTGACGGACTTTGAGCTTTCCACCCATGCAAAAGCGTCAGCAGACAGCACTGCGACCTCAGCGTAGATGATTGACAATCGGAGTCTGCGCAGTCTTTGGTGATGATTTGTCACTCTAGAATCAGCCACATAACATGCGCAGGCAAACATTTCCACCAGTGAAAAGTTCATAAACTACGCTTCCATATCCATGTCACCCCACTGCCTCTCAACATGGAGTTTCACCATCAAAATATATCAAAACATGTACCAAACACAAGAGCTGTTCAATCAGCACGTCTCAAGGGTGAGATTCACACAGTCCGTAGGATGCGCAGCAGCCTCAGGGCCTTTGGCTCACCAACAGCACAACATATCACAACCATGCCAAAGGCGCTAAGGCGTTGCATGTGTCTCAAACTTGATGGCCTATGGGAGCCTATGGGCCTATGCCTACATACAAACATGTCTACATCATCTTACATGCCTGATCAATACTGATTAATAATCTGGTCTGTCACGGATTTCTGGGCTCCCAAACCCGAAGAACTCGGGAACCCGGAACTTCCTCCGACGTGGAAAAAAATGGGCAGTGAAACCGGCGCCGGAGGGCATTGGGGACTGCTGCATGATTTGCGGGTGATCCATCACTGTGAGGTTCATGAGTCCAAATCATCAATTTAAAAAAATGAAAATCAATCCACAATTGAATATCGTACGGCTTTATCTCTCTCCTCTCCGCTCTCTTGGCAAGCGCAACGTCCGATCAAAGTTTTGCGCTTAGTCCTGCTTTTGGAGCGAGGCTAAGACCTCGTCGAAAACCTGGCCAAGGAGCAGCCCCACACACCCCAGCAACAGAGTCCAATCTTGATGAAAAATGATATTCCAGTCATAAAAAGGAGGACACCACTTTGAAAATCTTTGAAACATATTGTCCTTTTGGAACCAATTTGACCAATTTGTGTTCCACCTGGAGTTCTAGCTAAAAAGGTAACCCGTTGACCAACAGCAACCACTTGTTTAAACAGCGGCAAGCGACTCCCAGGCTGATGACAACGAGGTCTGCATAGTTCCACACGGTTTCAGCCTAGGATTGTCAAATGCCAAATTTGTTGGAATCTTGCATTCCACCCCCCGGCTTGTAGACATCGTGAAAAGAAAATAAAAGAAAATTATTTCAAACTTGAAATGACATGGATAGCACTCATCCAAGGGCGAGTTCTTTTGGCATTTGAGTGCACGACGAAGGAAGCACAGAAGAATCGCGGACCAAAGTGCCACATTCCTTGCTAAAGTGCAAAGTAATGAAACATCCCAATATCCCGGAGGTATCGCGGAGGGAAATTGAAAATTGGGACCCACATGGACCGAGTTTTATCATGGTCTACCTGTTTCAATTTGCTGGTTGTGGGAGTCCCCAGCTTCGGAAGAGAAGAGGCTTACAGAATGAACCAAACATCACCAAACTCCAGACTCCTCAGGAATGCTGAGGTCGGGACTGAGAAGAATTTCAAGAACGTAAAGAATCCTGATCCAGTTCAGTCATGTTCACTTGGAAACTGGATCAGTGCTGTTAGGTGATCATTGCGGTGAACTAAGGCGACAGCAGGATCGCAATCTGACATTTCTCCAAGAAGTCATTGCTTCCATGGAAGCACTGCCTGAGTTAAACACATTTCAACACGTTCAGTGCACAGACCTCCCGAATCCAATCTCTTTCCAAAGGAAATCCTTGGAAGCAACTGGAAGGACATTGTTTTCTCCTAGACGACCTAATACCATCAAGGATGGCCTGCCAGACACACGTGACAGGACGGCGTTTGGAGGATTTGGCTCGAGATTCGCCTGATCTGAGCCACACGCGATAGGATTCCACTAATCCATACTAAGTCAGTGACTGCCAGGCGATGATAATGTTCCAAAGAATGACCACACCTTTGCAGCTTAGGTTTTACCAAGCATGGCACGCATCATCCAGAGATTGCAAGCTATACATAGCTGTACCAGCTGTTCGAACTTGGCATCGTGCCAACTACAAGCTGGAACCAGCCCGACTCAACAAATTTGAAGGGTCCGACCTGGGAAGCATTTCATGACGGGTTGGTGCACAACTTGTTGTGACAAATCTGAAAGGCTTGTGGCACCAAATCTCCCTTGTTCTGCAGAAACTCTGAGAATCCCAGCACTTTGCCCAGGTAGTTGGTAGGCGAGAGACCGAACCTGTCATCAAAAGCGGCTGCATCACTTTTAAAGCTTTCACGACGTTGCACAACTACGGAGATCCAAACTGATTCTGGAGCGGTCAAAAATAGCGGCATTTTCTAGGTGAACAGAGATTTCCTACAAGTGTTGCTATAGTCAGCTTCCAAATCGTTCTTCTGAGCATCCCAGCGTCGACTGCAGGCCGAGGTATCAAAGGCCCTTCTCGCTCAGTGTCAACCTCGGCAACGACCAGACATGCTTTACGATTCTACCGCCAAACCTTTCCAGCAACAGAGGCAGCGATGCCTGTTCCATTTAGGCATCCCTGTGTCTCACAAAACTAACTTCCATTCGAACCATCCAAATCCAAATCAGTGATGTATCCGTGATGTACCTAATCCGTCCTAATCCATCCTATATTTAAGAGACCTTTCCCATCCTTTTCCCGCACCAGAGCTGCCCCGCATGCTCGTACTCCCCACCCACGATGAATTCGGGGATGGTCATTGAAGCGGAAGACCGCAGCCGGTTCTTCTTTCCTTAGCCCCACACGACCACCCGGCTCGTCATGATTAGACCTAACACTAGAACTATTTTATTGATATATATATATATATCATTGTAAATCTACCCTCTGGTAATGACTCTAATGACTAACAGTGATTAACAGTTTGCTATTGACAATGACCATTCTTGATGGGTAAACCATCTTTAAACAGGCCATTTGCCATCGATATGTTAAATGACCAAAGGGATCGGGCATTAATGCTGGAAATCCACCTACCGAATACATGGAGGTGCGTAAGTCAAGGGAAGCTACTTACAACACGGATCTTGGTTTTGGCTGCATTGGTTGAAATATGTTGAAATAGTAGACCAGTATAGATCCGGACCCAACAGTGATCCCATCTGCTCTAACTAGTCGCTGAGCACCCCACTCAATGCCTTCATCATGGCGCCAACAGATGTGGTGGCGTGGACAGTCGTGCAATGCCAGGAACCAAGAGAATCAGCTGGAAATTTGCGTCGATTTTACCAAAACAAAACGAATATTAAACTGTTTCTGATCTGAAAGAATCATCTATGGCATTCGGCCCCTTGGGTTTGGCAATCCACTTGGCTTGGTCTGGTGGGTCTCAATTTGTTCTTCAAATCTTGCAACGGGAAACGAGAAATGCTCCTGGGTTTCTCATGTTTCTTTGGTACGAGTATCTTTACTGTTCATGAAGCCAAGTGAGCCAACAAAATGCTATGCAGCTGGACAGTCAGATGTTGAATTTGCTCCCATTGCGTCTTGATCTAAATTCACAAGCTGCAAAAACCGCTGAACGTGGCAGGAGTTGGCAGGTCGTGCATGATGTCAATCAAAGCGCAGCAACTCCTCCCATGTCCCAGAAGCGAAGTTGTAAAGTGTCACAAGGCAATAGCTTCCGTGGCTTCCGCGCAAGTTTTGTCATGACATCGATTGGCCACCCATGTTATGGGTTAGGAACGGAGAGCGAATGGAAATCCCCAGAAGTCCAAAATATTTTGGTCAATGGCCCTTATGGTTCTGCCAAATTTGCACGGATTCCACACTGAGTTCAATGAGTGTAGCCACCAAATATGGATGGCGGATGAAGAGTTTCAAACAAGTCAAATACCTGACTGACTGGTCGAACTTTATTCAATTTGGCTCAAACTTTCTGGTTGGCCTCTCTTGAGTTTCCTGGATGTACTTGAGTAATCTGTGATCTTTCGTTCGTTCATTGAAAGACTTAAACCTTTGATGTCGAATTTGTTTGCCAACGGCTCCACCAAAGATCTGAGAGTACCTTGAGCGATGAAACACAAAATGGAGCGTCCGTGTGGACGGCAAATCAATTCATGCCCGTCGCATGTTTCACACACTTTTTCACGGTCTCTGCCAGTGTCACACGCCATCTTTAACGTGCTAAGACATTGTAAGACATCGTAAGACATTGAAACATCGCTGTCGCATGTTGCCAAACAGCTCGGCGAAGAACATGAACTGCCTCCATCAACTGGACGAGAGTTGGTGCCGAACACCTGCAGAGGTTGTCTTGCAATTCCAACATCGTTGTCGTAGATTCGGTGACAAAAATGTGATATCTTTGAACTGGATGTGGTTGCTGGTTGAAGGTCTGCACTCTTCCCTTATTCTGCACTTGAATCGTTCAACAAAATATTTCCGGTTTTTGTTCGTCAATCCGAACGGTTCGCTGGATCCTTCTACCTGCCTTGATCTTGAGTTTCGTTGACAGTTTCGCTTTGGAGCTTCTTCAATTCAGCTCTCCTTGCCTTCAGTGAGGAAAGACAGAAATAATTTCTTAATCTTAATAGGATGATTCCCAAAATGAGTAGTAGCTTATGAACTGACTGAATCAGAATATGATTTATGCAGTGTATCCTTGCTTGCCTCTGCGAAATTTGTGTGAAACTCTCCTCCATACTAATTCTAGGATTTCCGTGTGAAGGTCCCACACCTCGACCATCTTCTCCAAAGATGCCAAGCGTTGTTGCACCTGAGCGGTTCCCTGCAGCTTAAAATGGTCATCCCAGAGTTTGCCGAGCTCATCAAAATCTGAGGCTCAAACATTTTGGTCCTGAAACGCGGGGTTGTGTCTACGTGAATCTATCTATCTATCGATCTATCTACCTATCGATCTATCGATCTATCGATCTATCGATCTATCGATCTATCGATCTATCAATCTATCAATCTATCTATCTATCTATCTATATATATATTATGTATGTGTATGCATGTGTATATATATATACAGAAAAATAAAAATATCATATGGAATATGTGTACATTGATACACACCATTTATTGTAATATATCATAATGTCATACATAATGTATCATGTGTCAGATATCATAAATATTTATATCATATCATATCATATCAAATCATATCATATCATAACTCATCTATCATGTATCTACGAAGATGTCTTTTACCATTCATCAAAACAAACAGCAGCATCTGGCGCCGCAGCGCTATGTCCTCCTTGATGCTCGCATCTAGTGCCCTCACCTCCTGCAACCAAGATTCACAGGCGGGGTCAAAAGGTGATCAAAACCAAGCCTATGTGCTTCCCTATGTGGTTCCCTGTGTGGTTCCTCCTGGTTCCTTGTTTTCACTTGGTCCATTGGAAAAGCTTCGGAACAAAATGGAAGCAAGGATTTGTCCTTCACATGCTGGTAGTGCAAACGGAAGTCTTCTGCCTGAAAGTAGTGAAGCTTCAAGCAATCAGCAACTTGGGCCAGTGTCAAGTCATTCAGGACCCCCATTATCTGCCAAAATCCGCCGACCCCTGCCTAGCCTTGGCCTAGGCCTAGGCGGGGCGCTGGGACCACGGCAGGTGTGCAACAGAGCTAACCCGTTTTGTAATTCCACCCGGTGCAAGGCAACAAACAGGGCCTCAGTTTTACAGGTCTGGCGCCAGTGGCCACGGATTCTCAACCAAAACTTCTCGTCCTTTGGCAAGACGTGAACGTATGATCCATGCCATCCATTGCAAAACCCGGTACCACTCCCTGCGTTGTGCGAGGATCTTCTCCTTGGTGAACTCATCCTTCGCCATGTTGACATGTTGCCAGCTGGACCACGGACCGCAAATCGGTGTATCAATGAAAATGTGTACAGCATGATTTTATTGTGAGAACCGAACGTTATGAGCGCCCCCCCCCCCCCACCCCCCAAACCCCAAAACCCCTGGAAGCAAAAACACTGCAAAACGCAGTACGAAATGCATGCTTTGCCGTCTCTGCGCACGTTAAGTCGACGTCGGAGGGAACAACAAGGACACACGTTCTTCAACTACAGCACACTTTCCGCAGAATGTGCTGGCCCTGCGCAGCTAGAGACAAAGGTGCTGAGGGCTGGAGAGAGGACCATGCATGGGTCACGGTGGAGCACAATAAGATGGTCAGCAACAACAATCACCGCGTGGATTCGGGTAGAGTACACCCACCCGGGAAAGTCAGTGCAACGTCCGTTTGGGACTTGAATCCTACTGGTACGCCGCGCATTCGGGAAGTCAAAGAAGTCAGTGCAAAAGTATCCAAATCCCATTGGTGCGCCGCATGTCAAACAATGCTGATTTCAGCTGTTTTTTCTTCTTTTACGTGTAGATCCTATTGGTACGCCGCATATCAAGCAGTTGATTTTTTGTTTCTTGACTTGTAGATCCTATTGGTACGCCGCATGTCAGGCAGTGTTGGTTTCAGTTGATTTTTGTCTTCTTTTACTTGTAGATCCTCTTGGTGCGCCGCATGTGAAGCAGTCTTGAATTTAGTTGATATTTCGTTTTTTACCTGTAGATTCCTAGGTATAGGCTACATTCAGGATTTTCTAAAACAAGAAGAGTTTGCAAGAATTACTAGTCAAGCAGGTTATTCCGGCGATACCCCGGCGATACCCCAAAAGTAACACCAAGGCAGTCTTGTCAGGAAGATGTTTGTATTTGTGTTGTGGTTACCGCTGCTTTTGTTCACCTTCCAAGATATACCAACCGCATTGTGCTGCAAACAGATTGACTCCTTTTGATCCATCCCTACATGCCTGCATGCTCCTATGAGCCTCCACCACTGCATACACAGCACCATGTACACAACATGTTCTACATCGTTTTGGAATCAAGGTTTGAAATGCAAATCCCAACGGTATTGTGGCAATATGCCTTCTCAGGGCTCTACCAAATCGCATGCAAACTCGCTATGTGAAGAAAAAGGAACATGCAGTCCCCCAGCTGTATGCAACACGCACCGACTTCCTCAAAATGCTTCCCCAAGCTGTACGCAACAGAAAGTGCAAACGCATCGACTTTTCAAGTCAAGTGTAGGCGGGCATTAATACAATCGGGAAATGCCCGTTTATGTTGAACAGCTGGGAAAAAAGTTTACATATTTTATATTTATGTCCGGTGTTGAAATACTTCTGCGCCTTCATGTATTTGGGCTTTGGTTATCAACATGTCAGGGTTCGTTCTCCCAGTGCAGTCCTGAACATTCTGGAAGCATTACGACCACTAACTGCGTTCATGTTGTCCTAACTGGCTCTTACCAATCGGCGTCGGCCACACAATGCAGAAGAATGCAGAACTGGCACAACAGTTGAAACTGTTCAACCAAGCGCATTCCGAAAGTTAAAGTGTTGCAACAGTGTCATTAACAGTCACAGTGCGCAACAGTGTTGCACTCGAGGCACAGCGGCTGCAACGAGAGCTAGCAGGGGAAGCTAGCAGCGGGAAGTGCATAATGCTGAGGACAAACGAAGATGTAAGAGTAGGATGACGTGATGATGATGATGATGATGATGAATGATGATGATGAATGATGATGATGATGATGATGATGATGACGAGGATGACGAGGATGAGGAGCAGGAGGAGGAGGAAGAGGAGGAGGAGGAGGGTGGGGAGGATGAGGAGGATGAGGAGAATGAATGAGGAGAGTGATGATAAGGACGAGGATGAGGAAGCTGGTGTGGATGTAGACCTGGATGTGGATGTTGGATTTTGGCGTGTTTTCAATCCAGGGAAGGGGGTCCTCTGAGTGGGTCTGCTTTCGTGACTGTCCAGGCCCCCAGCCTGAACTCTTATGTGGGCCGCCTGGCACATGCAAGCCACTCTTCATCTATGCAAATTCAATGGTTCACGTGTGCAAGTTGAATGCAAGTGCGCCGGCGATTTTTCCCGAAGAACCCTTGCATGTGTTTGCTGCAGGCCCCAACAAGACCACCAGCTGCCAGGCTTGCCACAGGCAATCAAATATTCTGCGCCGGCCTAGCACCATTTCCTCGGAGCATCTGCAGTTGGGCTGCGCTTCCTGACGAAGACCCGCGGAAAGACCCGCTTCATGTTTTCCTTCAATGGTACAAAATCATTCAGTGACAAATGGGACGAGATCGGACCTTGCATCGTGTGGCCAAGTTGCGCCCAGGCGCACTTCTTTTTTAGAGTCACCTGAATGTGTAGGGGGGTCGGGCATTGGTCCAATCGTGCGTCAACCGGGCATTTTCCAGCGTCCGGTTCCGAGTCAGCAGCAGCCACGCACACTTGGGCAGCAACTGCGGAGGTTTTCTAAGCTCAGTCCAGCGAAACAACAACCGGCCCATTTGCACCTCTGGCATCTGACGTGATCCATCCGGAGCAATGCGGAGGGTACCTCTGTAGTACTATGATCGGCATGCGGATGACCGTGCCATCGCCGCACGGCACAACGACCGTCTCCCCCGACTGCATGACTGTTGCCAAAGGTGGCAACCGGCAAACGATGACAGATTCTAAGCTCCTTGTGGCTCTGACACTCGTCTCGATCTGGCACTGCCAGGAGATACCCGTGCCCAGCTCTTCAAAGGCAGGGCGCGGGAGGAGTTTGCCTGAAGATTGTCTGGCAAAGTACGGTCTTGAAAAGAAACGTGGCAAAGCAAAGCATGTCAATGCTTGTGAGCGTGACATAATGCGCATTGAAACTGTATTGCAACAGCAAAAATGGCTAGCAGGATCCCCCGGGATCGCAATGTGCGACTGAGATATCGGCGAATCAAGGCATTCAAATGCCTCTGCACGCCCTGCTCAAGGAACTTATATCTGTTACATGTCTTGAAACTGCTGTTGGGCACTTGTCGTTCCGTTGGGCCCAGGCCGGCCCCAAGGAGTCTATCTGTTACGGGTCTTGAAACTTTTCGTTCCACTGGGCCCAAGGCCGGCCCAAGGAGTCATCTGTTACGGGTCTTGAAACTGCCGTTGGGCACTTTTCGGTCCACTGGGCCCAGGCCGGCCCTAAGGAGTCTATCTGTTACGGGTCTTGAAACTGCTGTAGTGCACTTGTCGTTCCACTGGGCCCAAGGAATCTATATCTGTTACAGGTCTTGAAACTGCTGTTGGGCACTTGTCGTTCCACTGGGCCCAAGGAATCTATATCTGTTGCAGGTCTTGAAACTGCTGTTGGGCACTTGTCGCTCCACTGGGCCCAAGGCCGGGCCCAAGGAATCTAAATCTGCTATACAAGTTTTGAAACTGCCGTTGGACACTTTTCGTTCCACTGGACACCGACACATCCTCTTTTCCGGGGTTTGGAACTGCCGCTCGCACCCTTTGGTTCCACACGGCCTCACTTGCCCTGCTTCGTAACCGTTTCGAAACAGCCGTTGGCCTCCTCTGGTCCCAGACAAACCCCGCCTGCCCAACCTTGCAAAGAGTCTTTGCGCTGCAGCTTGCCACCATTGGTTCTACAGGCCATACCTGCCCATCCATATCAAGCCTTCGAAGCGTGAACTGTTCTTTACCACCTTTGGTTCTACAAACCCCTGCCTGCCAAGCCTTGTAAAGCCTGTCAAAAACCCCCTGGCCGCCCCTGCCTGCCTGCTTCGAAACGCCCGCAAATGGCTGTCTCTTGCCTCCCCGAGCCTCCTCCCGAGCCAACTCCAAAAGAGGGGGGGTCGGCGGCACCAGGGCGTTAGCCCATTCCGGCGATGCCTCGCCGTTTGTGGTGGCAGCTAAGCTTTAGCTACCCGGGGGCGCGCCGCTGCCGCCGACCCTCCCCTAAAATCCTTCAGCCTGCTGGGGTTTTCGGGGTGGGAAAAAAGATGGTAAAATTTGAAGATGCGTTTTGGAAGTCCTTGTTGGGCGTTTTTTGGTCAATTTTTCATAATTTTTTGGTACTGTCCACGCGTAAAAATCGTGTAATTCACAATGTTTTTGTGCCTTTGGCATCCAAAAAAAGCTTCTGACAACATGCAGGAAACTGCGTAAATACTAGTGTTTTGCTAGGCCCGGGCCACAAAACACTGTAAATACCGTGGTTTTTGCTAGCAGAGGCTCAAAACCTCGTAAATACCGTGGTTTTGCGTTGGCGCAGAGCCAAAAACATCGGTATTTACAGTGTTGTTTTGTTCCGAGATGTGAAAAATCGCGAAAACACCGCCTATTTGAAGCTTTCTGGGGGTTTGCAAAAACCGTCGATTTGACGATTTTGGGGGGTTTGCAAAAAGTACTAACTACAAAGATAACAACGACAACGCCAACAGGACCAAGCAGCAACAGCTATAACAACAATAACAACAACAACAACAACAACAACAGAGATGGATTGAAATATCGGGAAGGTGCAGCAAGCCTACAAGTATTGTTGGGCAGTGCTCAGCCCTATCAGCTTTCCAATGAGATAAACATCAAAAGGTTCAGTATTTGTTTGTTTTCATCACTGCACTTTGTACCTGGACCTGGATTGATCTCTTGTTCACGACGACGACGACGACGACGACGACGACGAAGACGACGACAACAACGACAACGACGACAACGACGACAATGACGACAACGACGACAACAAGGACAACGACAACGACAACACGAACAAGAACGAGAACGAGAAGGAGGACCAGAAGCAACAACAACAACGACGACAACAACGACAACGACGACGACGACGACGACAATGACGATGACGACAACGAAGATGCAGCTCGCAGCATGTCATGTCCGCAAGTTCAGATGAAATCCCCCTCTCTCTTTCCCTCCCCCGACCCCTACAGGCATCGCCGGTGTGCGAAGCTCTACAATTATTCCTTGCGGGAACTTCCCAAACTTCCTGGAGTTTCGGGTTTGGGGCCCTTGGGCTCCCAAATTTGTCAACTCGACCTGCCAAATCTGTCACCGGTAAAGCCACCTGGCTCTCAAGGCGATCTGCGAAGGACTGACTTTGCTCGAAGCGCCCTTCAGCCTGGGGCAATCCGGGGAGATGAACATGATGAAAACGATGGAGATCACTTGAGAGATCTGGATGTTTTTGATCCTTTTTGTGTGTTCCAATCCATGTATTTTTTTGATCTCATCTTGCGACTTATTTCTTGTCATGACCGGGAACTTTGAGGTCGGGTCCGAAGGATCTGCCCGGCGCTCCCGGTCTGCAGCGGACAAAGTTTGGATGTGGTCCTCGTAAACCAAGCGCTCCTGGCTGAGCGATGGCTCAGCCCATGATGGCTCAGCCCATGAACCCTTGGCCCTGGGTAGTTCGTTTTGACCAAAGATTGTTGGCACCTCGTGCAAGCGCCGTTTCAAGGTGTCGCCACCATGCCGCGCCAAAGACAATTGCAACTCCTGTGACACAAAAATGCAGCATGTGATCCTGTGCCATGAAATCGAAAGTCATACCCAACATTGCCCAACTCAAGAGGAACTGCAACTCCAATGAAGTGCAAATACGTACCTCAACAGACTGTGCGTGCACCATGTGGATATACGATATACACAAATGAACAGTAATGAACACCAAATGAACACCAAAACGGAGGGATCGGTTGAGTCAGTTGAGGGATCGGTTGGGGCCCCTTTCGAGAGTTTGGTACGCCGGGTGCGGAGCCATGACCATGGGTCCATGGCCGTCCTCTTGGAGTTTCTCTTGTGCCCTGAGGCGCTGTTGCACCCCAGCGAGCTCATGGGCCAAACGCAGAACTCCAGCACGGGCAGCCTGCAGCTCCCAGCTCCATGGACTCATCTTCAAATGGAAACGTCATGGGCATATATAGGTATTTCACAAAATAAGCAATGTGTGAAAATTGTGTGAAATATACGAAAAATAACATGGTTTCATTGCAAGAATACTATTTGTTAGTAGACTTATTGGCCACCTCTATGGGGGGGAACCAGTGGGTTTAGCGCTGTGTTGCCCCGAAACATACCACGTACACATCCTGAGTATTGGATCCCGCTGTGTTTTCACGGCATCCCACCTTGAGGCTTCCAAAGTCCTTTCGAGACAGGACGGGAACAGAGTCGATCAGCTTTAGAACACCCTGCACCTGCAGCAACTGAAAAGCAAATCACACAACTCCTGGAAGCAAAACAAGTGTGTGAATGTCCGTCACAACACACCATTGTCAAAACGATTGACATTTCACTAGGCCAACGTAAATTCAACAATGTAGGATGTCGCATGTTTCTGAAGGTGATTCGTAGACAAAATAAAATTGCGGCATCGGGCCTTTTGTTCTGGCGGAGGAGAATGCGGGCTTCGCTTGCGAACCCGCCTCCAAGGGACAGTTCAAACGAATACCATGTACCATCCGCAGTCTAAAGTGTACAGAATCCAAAAACAGCTTGTTCAAATTAATGTTAGCATTCTGAAGCGTTCTGTCATTTTCTTCCAAACATGCTTCCTTGGACAAAATCACCCACCATGCAATCTTTTAGTGCGAATGAGTGTAATTTGCTCCAAATTACAGATGTTACGGGGAGGGTATTTGCATGCGCCTGGGAGTGGTCAACGGGGTCCAGGGACTTGGCGCCGGCGTGGTTTGACCGCTGGGACATTGCCGCTGTCGTCTGGGCGTATTGGGCGTGGCAGTCGCGTTGGGCGTGGCAGTCGCCGCCTTTGCCCGCGGGGAACTTGGACAGCTCTTCGCGCGGGCGGATCTCAGCAGCATCTGCTGCAGATCGATGGATTGCTGCCGTTGCAGCTCTTCCAATCGCTGCACCCGCAATGATGGCACGAAGGGCGCCATGGTGCGAAGAAAATCTGCAAATTTCAAATTTGGACCATTTGGGCAGTCTTCTGCTCCTTGAGTCTTGCTCGTTGTCACCGCTGTGTATCATTTGTGTTGCGTTTGTGATTTTGCTTGTTGTCATCGGATTGAAAGTTCACGTTTGACGCTTGTGTTTGCTCCGTTCTTGTCGATGTTGTCGTTTCTATGTTCACTTCTTTTCGCTGCTGATGCCGCTACGATATCCTTGCAAGTCTTTGGATGCTCTGTGCTCATTTTGATCCTTTCATTCAAATGTTTGACATGTATCAACTGAAACAGCAACAAGAAGCTCGTGACAACCAAGTCGGAACTGGGATGAGGGATGGTTCTGTCAATGTGGTTTTACCTCTTAAAATTTCAAATTGACATGGTTTGTGGAGCAAAAGAAACAACATAGGAGCCTCCACGGATGTATCACTGACACCCAGTCCAATTCGCAAAGAAAATCAAAGTACACCAAGGTGCTAAGCAGTACTAAGTTGGTTGTGTATCTTGTTCACCCACATTGCAGAGGTGCATGTGTGTCAAAACCCTGGTAGCCTGGTGAATCCAAAATAGCTCTTGAAATGTTCATCCTAAATATTGTATCGCGGATTTTAAGATTTTTACGCCATCCCCACATGACTCGCACCATTCCTTATGTTCCAAGCGACTCTGATCAAACAACTGCAGGCAGAGTACAGTTCATACACCAATGTCACAAGATGAAGTCAGGTCACGCAACGCTTGGATGCAAATAATATGACGTGCAAAATTAAGAATGCGCAGCGAAGGTTCAGGTTGGCAAGATTCTGACATGTGGGACACGAAGCCATCAGAATCAAAAATCCTCACCAGGGTCCTTGGAATCACCCCCGCCCCCCCCGGGTCTCTCCTTTTTTGATGGAACGCACCCGATCCAAACCATGGTCCTTCTAAAGAAGTTCGCCTGCAAAGATGCAAAGGTGACAAAATGTGGCTCGCACACTCGACGACTCGACCAATTGCAGACATGGTCATGTAAGTCATGTACCAATTGTGGTCCGGCCTTGCTCCTCACAGGCCGCGCCTGAACATAAACTCAATAGCGACGAAAAATGTTTCAAAGTCAATAACTAAAAGCAATGAAGTAGGTGTTCTTCAATACAACCCAAAACTTGGGATGACACCAGGATTAAAAAAGGGAATAAAAACATGTTAGAACAAGACCATTTAATACCATTTATATCATATTACGGCACCTCCGTGAAAGAGTGAAAGCAACATTAGACAGTTCTGCCATATTACATATTCTGCCACATTCTCAGTGCTGCCTAGATACGCCAGGAGCACAGAGTGACGCAGCCCACAATTGTGGCCCTGCGAAGGCTTGCACCGTCTGCACTTCAGCGACATCTTTGACATCCCCAAGGTTTGGCTTCGAAGGCGTCGAAGGCGTTGGCGTCGGAGGCTTCGGCGCAACGTGCTCCTCCACCCACTTTAGGATGCTGGAAACAGACCTGCACAGCGGCACAGCAGACCCACAAGCACCCAAACGCACCCAAAGATGCATAAAGATTCAATTATTTCTTGCATGCTGGACAGTTGGATGTAATACTTTAGGGCATTTATATGGTATCATTTAGCATCATTTAGCCATCCACTGGAATATGTGAATAGACTCGACTATTCATAGTAGACATCCAGCTCAACTTCCACAGCGCCACCCGATGTCAGATTCAACGGTTCAACTAATCTTGGCCTTCCACCGTGGAACTCCTCAGTGCTGTTTGGCCCGAAGAATTTGATGGTCGGGAAACCTGGGACTCAAATGAACAGCCTGTCATTGAATAGGTGGCCACAAGAGATCCAAGAGACATCAAGAGACATCAAGAGACATCAAGAGACATCAAGAGACATCAAGAGACATCAAGATACTATGATGGTCTATGTTCCTGTCTTGGATACTTGATTCAAAGCCACCACATGGTATGGAGTAATATCACTAACCGCAAAGACCTTCCTACCTGCCACCGAAGGTGTCAGGAACCTTGGACTGAAACCATGATAACATACAATGGGCCTCCCCTCACAACATGCCAGCCAGGAAAAGCCTGGACCCCCCAGCGAGCACCTTAGCGCATCGTCTCGCTGTCATACACCAGATATCTTGCAAATCTTGCGATATCCGGATGTGTTGGCCAAAAAGGGGTAACGGACGGAACCATACCACGTCCCAGCATGTGCCCCACACCCGGCCAACGGTGTGTGCGAAAAGAGTCAGCAACAGTGGCCTTCATTACCACACGACGCCAGCTCAGTCCGTGGGTAGGGCAAGGGTCAGTTCAGAAATCCAAAGAGACGAAAATTAGATGAAATAAAGAGCAGACCTGGGTGAAACGTTGCCAGCACGGCAGAACTTTCAAGGATTTCTTTTTGTCCCTTTGGTTTCGGAGGAACGACATCCAGCATATCCAGCCAGGAATCCAGCCAGCAACCCCTCTACCCACCTTGGATGTCAGCTTTCTTACATTCCTCCAGGTCTTTTCCTGGGGCCCACCCCTTTCCAAAGCACTCCTTAGCGGACATCGGCCGAAATGCCACAAGGAGGTACTCTCATCAACATGTCCGGTATTCATTCCATCTGGCTTCCATATTTCACTTTCGAGGTCTGTCATCATGTCAATCATATCTTCATGCCTCTGCGCACGATGCTGACAAACTCTGTGCGTCTGCATGTGTGGCTATGTGAAAACATGACATATGTGAAACATCTCCGAGGCAGCCCATTGAGGACCATTGATGTTGTAAAGTCTACAAAGTGGTGCGCGGTCGGGGCACCTTCTGCTCCCACAGGATGTTCTTTTTGGATGCCGTGGCAGCTTTCAGATCGTTCCAAATGGGCTCCATGGATTGACAGTGAGGACAGCTCTTGGCCACATATTCCACCACCTCCATGAAACTCAAATCTTGCAATCTGCTACAATCATCAACTGATCATCAACTGTTGAAACTACAAGTGGACTGTTCTATGAAGATTCTATGATGTTCTATGCCCCTCTCTGATAGATCTGGCAGGGTATGATATCCGCACCTTCACAGGTGAAGACGGGTCGACCAATGCAAGCTGCTCCTGTCGGGTCTCTTCCAAGGGAGCAATTCGTTCAGGTCGTGCGCCGTGTTGGGCAGCAAACCTGGGGTCTATCCGAGTCTATCGGTCGATCGCCGCTGAAAGTTCCAGACCGAGCAAAATGAAGCAAAATGAAGCAGCAACACGAAGCAATGGACTGAGACTACTGAGACTACTGAGATTGGGACCCAATCAAGTTCTCGGGAGTGCGATCACCAGAGAAGTCTGCAAACTTTTTGCCAGACTTACCTCAGTGAAGAACACCTTCGATGCACTACACCCCATCACAGTGCCAGCAAAGAAATTCACCAGACTGCCAAGGCGCTAAAGAATCGAACGGTGGGGAAGCTGTGGATCCCTTCCTTCATGCACTCGTCATGGTCTCTGCCTTCACCCCAGTTTTCACCGTAGCACTCCTTCTGCTCCCATTTCACGGCATCCTTCCAGCTCTGTCTCAACAGAAAGGGCAAAAACATGCAAAAACCCACTGTGTCTTTTCTGCAGACTCAAACAAACCACTGAACGGCTAGCTATCACAGGCATGAAAAGACTGCAAACACATCAGCAAAAGTTCAAACAAGTGGAATCTCCTCTGGATGATCTGTGGACCACTTGTGAGTGGCTTCCTTCCAAATGGGCTCCAAATGTTTGCAATGAGGGCAACTTTGGGCAAAGAACTCCACCATCCGACCTGAGCTGGGCCGAGATCGCCGAGACGGCGATCCAAACCCCCAGGAGCTGCAGCGGACCTCCTCCCCATGCTTCGTTGGCGCCAGTTTCCGCGGGTTCCTGCACCTGCAAAAACTTTGGTGTGTTGGCAACGGCCGAGACATACAATTCCGCAAAAACACAAAAACGCAGTGTTGGCAGGCACCTGGCTTGGTGGCACATCACCATGCGCTGGCAGCACTTTGGCAGGACCTGACAACGACGGCATCATTCATACACCATCAGAATTTGTCGGAATGCTCGAGAAAACCGTGGACAATGTCGAAAGAAAGGACCCTTCCAGTTTTGCAATTTGCCATTATTTGCCTCTATCAAGAAACTGCCTGACAAAGTATGAGCACGTACGCAACTGGCAAGTCACTTTCGGAGCCGCAAAGCAATCAATCAATCCCCACCTAAGGGCTGAAAGTGATCACCCAACCAATGCCTGAGCCAAAGATTTGACATGCCCAAAAGGGCAGGAAATGTCACCTGACATCTATCTCAGGTGATGCAGCAGTGGTAGCTATCTAAAGTTGATGTTACAAGTAGGGTACAAGTACCGTTCTTTTCACTTATTTTTTTGCCCTGACGGAAAGACTCATTTTGCGATCAAGCTCTTCTATGGGCAACGGTGGATCTCATCTCACGGCCAAAAAACTGTCTGGTCATGTCTGGTCCGTTTCAACTCACCGACTTGAGGGAAGATGATCAGCGAAGCCACGCGATGGAGTGTCCGGTTTCTCGAAGTGCACGCATGGCAGGGGCGGCACTGATGAAGGACACCTAGAGTAGTCTCACTAGACGCGACTTGGCAAAGCCTTCAAAAGAATCTCACATCATGTAGCAGGAAATCCTGTTAAATCAGCTGCTAAAGAAGGACTCTAGCATTGGCTTCTGTGAAGAAGACTGGCACAAACAGATATCGTCATAGAGTAAGTTTGAAGTGTCCACCTAACTTCGGCGAGACCATAAATGCTCGAGTGGCAGCATCCGTGACCATGGGTGAGTGCATCACCTCGATACCTGAGCCGCAAGACATTTGGTTCCCGCCGACCGCGACAACACTTGGCACAAAGTGGATTCTGGCACAGTAAGAATTCTGAGTTCAGTATATAAAGGGAAAATCCACGAACATCAGGCCTCTATTTTGATCCAACTTAAATATGGGTTTGGGATCTCGTCTTGATTTGTGCCCATGTGCCTTTGACCTGGTGAGGCATGCTGCAGACAAGAGTTTTTTGCTAAGGGAAAGTGCCGCAGGTGTTGCTTTGGATTCTTGGGGTTCAGGGCTTTAAGAAGCCATCCTAAATATGGTCATATTCTGTAACTCTCAAACTGAGTTTATCATTCTCAACGCCGATCCAGATATATCCAGATCCATCGCCAGGTGACCGTGTTGAATCACCGCGTCATGAACCATCGCAAGGTTGGAACCTTGGAAACAAATGCCCGATGCGCACCGACAATCCGATGACAATCGGATGACACGTCCAAGCTGAGGAACCAAAAGCGCTGGAATTTCCAGCACGTGACTGACGTGACCCATGAAGTGTCTATATATCTGCCATACTAAGCTTGAGAACAAACGCGGCGACCACGGAAATTGGGTAGCAGTAGACACCCAAGAGAAAAGCGGTGGTCTGCTGGTCGCTTTGAACAAAGTACGCAGTTGTTTCTTAAGGTGCATGAAAAAGAGAAATCTTGGGAATACCTGGATTGGAACCACAAAAAACTTGAAAAGGGAGCTGCAGAGCAGTCCAGGGCTGTTTTACTTTTACCCCCAGCTTTGTGACTCAGGAGCTTTGTCCTCACCAGGCACCGGAGAAGCCAACAGGAATTGGAACAGACCTTTGGTGGCAGATTTGCCCACGTCGGCCACGGCGGCCACGGGCATCCGGAAATTCTCACTCTCCTCCAACAAGAGGTGAAAGCCGGCCCTGGCAGGGAGAGCTATGTGGTCCAGCACTACAAAAGGATCAAACCAAAAACACAAGATCAGGTTGGAAACACTGACAACACCCCAACATATCTAGATATTCCAAACCTTTCATTCCCCAAACAGTGTACTGTCTTTCTTAAGGTGTCCGCCTTGGTATTGGATGGCGCGTCCGCCTTCCCGAGAGTCTTGTCTCCCTTTGTCTCCCATTATACCCCTTCTTGTTTCTCTTTGTTGGATGGTGTCTCCGCCTTCCCGAGGGTCTTGTCTCCCTTTGTCTCCCATTGTACCTCCTCTTGTTTCCCTTTGTTGATGGTGTCTTTTCTCCGCCTTTCCGAAGGTCTTGTCTCCCCCTTGTCTCCCATTGCACCCCTTCTTGTTTCCCTTGGATGGTGTGTCCGCCTTTCCCAGGGTCCTGTCTCCCTTTGTCTCCCATTGTACGCCTTCCTGTTTCCTTTTGTTGGATGGCGTACCCGCCTTCCCGAGGGTCTTGTCTCCCTTTGTCTCCCTTTTTGCCCTTGCTTGTTGCCCTTAGATGGTGCATCCACCTTCCTGAGGGTCTTGTCTCCCCTTGTCTCCCATTGTGCCCCTTCTTGTTTCCCTTTGTTAGATGGTGTGTCCGCCTTTCCTAGGGTCTTCTCTCCCTTTGTCTTCCATTGTACAGTACCCACTTCTTGTTTCCCTTTGTTGGATCGTGTGTCCGCCTTCCCGAGGCCTTGTCTCCCCTCGTCTCCCATCGTCTCCCAGCTTGTTTCCCTTTGTTGGATGGTGTGTCTGCCTTCCCGAGGCCTTGTCTCCCCTTGTCTCCCATTGTCTCCCTTCTTGTTTCCCTTTGTTGCACAGTGTGTGTGTCCGCCTTCCCGGGGCGTTGTCTCCCTGTTTCCCCAGCTTGTTTACCAGCTTTGCTAGTCTGCCAGCTTGTCTTCCTTCTTGCTTCCCTTTGTTGGATGATGTGCCCACTTGTCTCCCCGCTTGTTGCCCAGCTTGTCTCCCAGCTCTCCCAGCGTATCTCCCAGCTTGACTCCTAGCTAATCTTCCAAGCAGTCTCCCAGCTTGTCTTCCAGCTTGTCTCCAGCTTCTCTTCCTGCTTGTTTCCCTTTGTTGGATGGCGTGTCCATGTCCCGACGCTTTGTTTTCCCAGCATGTCTCCCAGCTTTGTTTCCCTTTGTTGGATGGTGTGTCCGCCTTCCCGAGGCCTTGTCTCCTTTGTCTCCCAGCTTATCTTCCTTCTTGTTTCCCTTTAATGGATGGTGCGTCCACCCTCCCTTCCCTTGTCTCCCTTGTCTCCCTTGTCTCCCAGCTTGTCTCCCAGCTTGTCTCCCAGCTTGTCTCCCAGCTTGTCGCCCAGCTTGTCTTCCAGCTTGTCTCCCAGCTTGTCTTCCTTTTTGTTTCCCTTTGTTCATGGTGCGTCCACCTTGCCAAGGCTTTGTGACCCTTGTCTTCCAGCTTGTGTCCCTTGTCTTCCTTCTTGTTGGATGGTGCGTCCGCCTTCCCGAGGTGTTGTCTCCCCTCGTCTCCCAGCTTCTCTCCCAGCTTGTCTTCCTTCTTGTTTCCCTTTGTTGGATGGTGCGTCCGCCTTCTCAAGGCCTTGTCTCCCAGCTTGTCTTCCTTCTTGTTTCCCTTTGTTGGATGGTGCGTCCGCCTTCTCAAGGCCTTGTCTCCCAGCTTGTCTTCCTTCTTGTTTCCCTTTGTTGGATGGTGTGTCTGTCTTCCCGAGGCCTTGTCTCCTAGCTTGTCTTCCAGCTTTTCTCTCAGATTGTTTCCCATCTTGTCGTCCAGCTTGTCTCCCAGCTTGTCTTCCTTCTTGATCTTCTTGTTCCCCTTGGTTGGATGGTGCATCCGCCTAGGCTTTGTCTCCCTTCTCAGCTTGTCTTCCTTCTTGTTTCCCTTTGTTGGATGATGTGTCCACTTTCCCGAAGCCTTGTCTCCCTTGTCTCCCAGCTTGTCTTCCTTCTTGTTTCCCTTTGTTTCTCAATACCCAGTGTTGCGACAAGGCTAGCGAAGCCGAAAAACAATAAACGTGACGTGGTCAGCACTTATTGCAGACATTATCGTGATTCCTGCGGCTGCTATTTCATGTGTTTGACCTGTTCCTCAAAGCACTTTTCCACCCACTGTTTTGGGTCTACGGTGGTGTAATTTTATATATTGCATATTATACATTACACTATCATAAATATAGTTTGAGATCGCATCAGTGAAGGCTGCGGCGGACTCCCACCTCTCAAGTGCGCTCAATAACTGATTCTCCAGCTCTCCACCGTCCTGCATAGCGACATCATGAACATCATGGCTCTCCGTGCAGCACCGTCGGCCAACGGCCGCAGCAAAGTTGTCCGGCGTCCGGTGTCCTGACCACGTCCCCACCATCGCCGGAAGGGTTCCACCACCACCAGTCGAGCTTCAGGCTCTTTCCGAAGAACTCGATGCGCCTCCTCAAGCACCTCCGAAACATGGCAACTAGAACCACAGAGGTTGAACTCATCTAAGATATACTAAGACGGTAATCAAAATCATTCAAAATCCATGTTTCAGGAAAAAAAGATGCCCCAATCCATGGCGATACGGCATAGTAAAGGACTTATGAATTCAGCATGATCTCTCTGCAAGAAGTGCAAGAACTTTCCGGTCTGTTTTTCAATTACCACTGTTTGTCCAATGCTTCAGCTTGTCTTTCCGAAGTTAGGTTTGGTTATCATCCGACATGGCCCACAATGTCTTCGCCTTCAAGTAGTCAAGGCTCCAAAGGGCTCTGCAAAGAACTGCCACTTCGTATCGATCTGTCCAATCATCTGGAAGCGAACCCAAATTCTGAACTACCTCAGTGGAAAGAATCCGCAGGATCAGAGTCTGATCTTGTTCTCTTCTCTGTTTCAATGCAAAAGTATCAAGCTGATATCACCTGATTATACAATCAATCTCCACAGTCTTGCCAAGGAACTACGCGGGGTGCCAAGCGAGCAGCGTCCACGCTGGTCACCTGCAGAATTATGAAGCAGATTTGGTCAAAATTCTTCTCTGTTACTGCAAAAAAAAAAGTTCCCTTCTCTGTTTTCACATGCAAAGGGTGGATGCGATGTGCTCTTCCACTTCTCTAATCATCCTATCAAATTGGATCTACAAGTAGACGCAAGGTTTCAATTTTCAAACGTGATGTTCCTCTGGAACCTCTTGTAAATTGAACATGTGCTGTTGTATCCATGTTCCGTGATTCACCTTGGCTTCTTTCATAAATCCTTCATAAGAAAGCATGGTTTGTTGAAATGTTGAGTTATGCTTGGTGGGCTTGGTGGGTGATGTTTATCACACTGAGAACAAAAACACAACTCCTTTCCTAATCTAAAATACCTGCATTCACCCACCATACAACCCCAATAGCAAAGTTTCCAACATTACCATATAGATCCAATAGTAAACAAGGCTGTCCACTGTATCGAATATTCAAGAGATGTCAATGAGATTACCAGAATCATCAAAAATAGTGGTTTTAAAAAACACATCAAAAATCATCCAACATCCATAAACCTCCATAAACATCCAAAAACCATCCACCCAGTTTTGCATTTTTTGAATCAAAATCTACCCCGGTCAGTCCTTTGCCCAGCCGCGAAGCGCCAACTCGGCCGCCAGGGCAGCATCGCCGCAGCCCAGGTCGACCATGGGGGCCCTGGTCACCAAAGATTCAATGGATTGGTGTAAGGGAACATCTAAAGGAAACCATCGATTTTGGGCTTTCCTGCAAATTTTCCCTTAAACCAATCCATTGAAATATGAAACATAGATATGAAATGAATTGAAACATAGATGAAAATTTGGATTTGGAGTGGAAGACAAGTTCCATCATCAATTCTGGGATTCCATTATCGGCTCGCCATTCTTGAGCCAACTATTTCATCCAATCAAAACCTAGCACATTCATGGTTTGAAGTCCACTGCAAGTCTGTTTCACCTCACCTTGATGGCTAGTTCTATCCCATCACAAGCCAAGAAAGAAATGCATGGCATGGTGTACGTGAGTCTGGATGCATTGGTAGACATCACTGTCGGCCTCTGGCAACAAGTACTGCGAGCGATTTGTCGCTTACATGAAAAGAACGGGTAAATGTCCAATATTTCCACCCTGGTGGATCATGCTTTCCTTGTACCATCTAAGACAGTTCTGCAAAAAGGAACGAGGTTTGAACAAGTGTTCAAAACTTATCACAGAAACTCATGCCATCTCATGCCGTACAGCACCGGCTCCTGGCATTTTGGAATGTTTCAAGAAAGGATGCAGCAATATGAAGTATGTAGAGGCAGTCAGCAAGCAACAATCTAGGGTCTAGGTTGCCATAAGTAGTGGTGTAATGGCATAGCGCGTATATGCGCGTATTTAGTTTCCAATGGAAACCAATAGCGAGGGAACAGAACTCTCTCATCCTGCGCCCTCAACCCTTACATGCCACCAGCAACACTGGTTGGAAGTAGAACCACTTGGCGTGTCAGCATTCCCAGTGCTTTCTGACCACTCCGGTCTGCCTCTTGCTGAGCGGAATGTGCTTCTCAATGAAGTCAGCAGTCCGGACACAGACAGCGTTTCCAGGGCCTGCCATGCCTTCCTCCTGGCATTTTGCAATGGCTGTCAGAGTCATCTACATCGACACACGGCAATTGTGTTTACTACAGGTCTTGCATCTCATGTGCGTGTTTTTGCTTTCCTCCTAGCAGGGCAAGGAGGTCTAAAAAAAGTCATAAAAGTCTGAAATCATCTGAAATCTAAAAGATCTAAAAGATCTAAAAGATCTAAAAGATCTAAAAGATCTAAAAGATCTAAAAGATCTAAAAGATCTAAAAGATCTAAATCTGAAACATTCGAGGCATGTCACTCCTTTGCAGCATCCAGGTATTGAGGCAACAAATCCGGGCGTTTGGAGACCGTCTCGAAAAAGTCGTTGGAGTCCATACTCTTCATCCAGCCATGCCACGTGGCCACACACGAAGGCACGTTCTTCTCCGAGAGCCTGCGTTTGGCCAGCCATTTCCGAAATTGTGGCGAAACCAACTGGAACAAGGGGAACAAAAACCATCAAAAACCATAGAATTCAAGAGAGAAACAGTTGGAAACACTAAATCCGCCCGCACCGAAGGTGCTGGGGCGTGATCTTCCGGATGGCACTCGTAAAAAGGTTACAGGTTTACCTGGGGGGGGGGGGCATTTTTCGTCCAAAACCTCCTGTTTTTGATAGGTCGTGACGCTCGCCTTCAAAAAACACTGTAAAAAACAGTACGGAAGACACCTGTTCGTGAACGCGCCCGTCCAAAATCGGCAAGCGAAAAGTGGAAAAACCCCGTGTTTTTCAACTTTTTGACCTCAATTTTTTGGTTTGCAACATCTTTTTTTGCGGTTCCGCAGGTGGCCGGGCCCGGAGGCGGATTTTTGAGTTTTTCGACCCGTTTTCGGACTGATTTTCGTCGTTTTGTGATAGCAGAACACTGGTTTTTACAGTGTTTTTCTGTTTTCTGCATGCTTGACGGCTAGCTTCAAAACTTCCAAAAACCTCGTAAATTACGCTGTTTTATGTTACGGTGTGAATGAAAACATCGTAAATACCAGTGTTTTTTGACGTTGGTTAAAAAAACACTGTAAATTACAGTGTTTTTGGCCACCTGACCCTCGAAAACCATTGTATTTGCAGTGGTTTCTGCTTCTCACCGCGCAAAAACACTGTAAATAACAGCAATTTCGCCGTTTTTCCATGTTTTTCGTTATTTTTTGAACTGTGTTGGTCCGCTATACATGGCTATCAAATTCTTCGCGTTTTTTTTTCCGACAATCGGTACTTTCGGATGATTTTGGTCTCAATGGCCGACATCATTGGCAGTTACGAGCGGCTGCCCAACGATGCGGTGCGGGCGGTTGCCGTCGCGAAGCGACGTGAATAAATGTAAATGAAACAGTAAATAACATCTAAATAACGTCAATTTCCATCGATTTCAACAGGAACAGCAGGCCTCCACCGATTTCCTCTCCACGTCTTCCCTGGAGTCGGTGTTGGTGCCGGAAGTTCTTTCACCTCTGGTTGTTTCTGTCGCCATTTTCTCAGGGCTTGAAGTGCCTGGCCACTGTTCCTTGGAAGGTCACAATGGAAGTGGAAATCGATGCCTGACTTCAAACATCTTCAAACCATCAACCACCACCATATTTCACGTCCGAAGTGGAAAACTTCCACACTACACAAGATCCGGACCCAGTACACAAGATCAAAATGAGTGGGTGCCGTGGGTGCTGGCAATTCCCATTTCGCAGATTAAAACTCAGAATCCCAAGGATGCCAACCAAATCCAGCCATGCTTCGGAAGGAGTTTTCCAGCACCAAGGCTTACCTTACTCAAATCTCCTCGCTTTCTTTGGGCATAGCCAATCACAGCTCCAAGGCTGACCGAACCCACCGAACGTGATGTCAGGCCTGGAGTCTTTCACGGATTGAGAGATCTTGCAGTGACGGTTTGGACCGGTTTGGACCGGTTTGGATGTTAAAGTCATGAAACCTGGCTCTGTGCAATGGGAATCCTGGCAAGACCTTGGAGAAAATCAATCTTTTAGTTGACAGGCAGGACCACCTGCGATAAAGCCAAAGGTTGCCAACTTGTACAGACTGAAATGTTCGACGTGTGCTGCTGTCTTGCCAAAAGACATACCCTTGGCTCAGTGTCTGGAGGAGCACCTTGGAGGAGCTCAGAGACTGTGAGGTCTGGGTTGTACGAGTACTGAGGATTTGCAAAGCATGTCTTGGAACATATTCATCAAGGCTGTATCAAGAATCAGTGAACTCTCATAACTCTGGTGTCTAGAGTCTAGACTCGTTTGAACCCAACGTTTGAACCCAACAACTAGCAAGTGGAGATTTTCCGTTGCAAAGCATGCCACATGCGAGTGGTCCGCACTGTCTGTTGGAAAAGGAGCCATGAAAAAATCGGATCTGCGTGTGGCTTTTACACTCACCCTGGCTATTTCTTCTGCGGCTTCTGCCTGCGGCTTCTTCTTCTTCTTCTTCTTCTTCGTCTTCTTCTTCATTTTCTTACACAACAGCCCACTTGGCAGGAGCGCTCTGCCTCTGAGTGGTTTTGGGATGTTTTTGGGTTCCACCTTGAATTGTCGATTTTAGAATAATTGTTGATTGTCATCCCCAACATGTCTCAGTGAAGTAGCCACCTTGACTGTACATGCTGTTGGCACCTTTAAGCAATCTCCCGCCAGTTCTTCAGTCTAGCTCCTCACCCCTTGCAGTTTGCTCATGAAGCTCAAGAGAAGCTGCATCGGCCACCTGGGCAATGCCTCGGCCCATTAACTTTTTCAGAACCGGGTCAAGCTGATCCTGCTGATCCTGCTGATCCTGTTTGCGGAACTGAAACTGAAGCCTCCAGGCCGTCAGTGACCGTCAGCCTCCCGTCCAACAGGACACTTAAAACACAACTTTGCTTCACCAGGATGGTTCTTGCTAAATTAGTTTAATTAGTTTAATTAGTTGGCTCCCTCTCCACGGCAGCCACTGTGGGGCTTCTTCGATCCTCTTATCTGAAGGCTTTCTCCTCCACCTCTCCTCCAACAGATTCGAAGACTCCCACGCGGTGCATGAGTTGCTGCCCGTCGAAGATCGGCACGCTGTCTTCGGTTTCAATTCCAAAATCAATCTTCCATTTCATCATGACCTCCGAAACTCGAAGACTTGACAATTCCATATCCTCCTTGATCTCCTTCCTCATTCGCAATCGAAAATCATCCATCTCCATCCTTTCCTCTCGTGGGATTCTAAGATTGACTTGTTGCTTGGCACCTGTCCCCTCTTGACCTTCACAGCATCAGCAAGTTCTGTCTTTGGCCCACGGAACCACAGGCTCTGTTTTTCTTGTAGAGTAGACCTTTTGAAGGTATCAATTTTGGACCCATACCCCAATTTTTTCTGAATGCTCTTCTAAATCACGTGCTTTCTGCCATTTAAGGTAGAATTGGATGGTTCTTCTATCCATTTGCCCGTTGAGTCTCTGGGATTCCGACGGTAAGCCGCGCCCCTTCGAGCGGTGGAAGGGTGCCAGCCCAGCGGCTTGAGACTTCCAACAGGCGCCAAATTTTCCATCGCACCGGTCCTTGTGAAAGGACGGGCACTGTACTGATTGTACTGGCAGTGTATCGTGTGCCCCCAGGTCCCGTTCCGTCCCGTCCCGACGGCCGGTCTGTGACTGGTGACTGTTTTGGAAAGGCATTGAGGGAAATGTTTGAAAACCTTTCTGAAGCAACGGGTGCATCTCCATTGTGCTTCCAAAGGGTTTGCTTGAGCTTGATGGCAATATGTTTTTTCAGCTTCCTGGATTGGATGGTATTGTAACACCTGTACGTAGAGCCGGCACATAGATTCATTCAAACAAGCAGGAGGCAAACAAGTTTGTGACAGCAAACGGTTGCAAACTGCTGCCACGCCAGTTCTTTTTCACCCAATTCTGAAAACTCTTTTTGAGCTCACATTGGTTCAAACAGCCAATCAATGCACATTGGTTCTGTTGGCGGATGGCAACCCTCTTTCGCGTCCATGCAGTCAGGAAGATCTCGTCGATCCAACTCATTGGAGGGGCCTTCATGGCTTCTCCAAAGATCCTTCAGTGCAGTGCACTCAGAACATCGAAGCGATCGAAGTCAGACCTTTGACATTCTGCCCAGGTCGCCCAGGGCGAAAATCTGTCTCAGGATTGGACCAATCTGAAGAATTCAGCCATCCTTTCAACAAATATGAAACAAACGTAGGCAGTGAACCTGGACCCAAGAGAAAAGGTATCGGCGCTGTTTTGGGACCTTACAGCCTTTGGATAATGAGGCTCGTTGAACCTGTTGTGTGAAAATGGATCCACTCCGTATTGATTCCGGCCACGAGCCTTCTCGTCTGGAACTCTGCAAGAACTCGGTCATGGTCACCATATGTCACCATCAAGTTCCTTGTGAGCACCAGCTGCCGTGTAGTCAAAAAATGGGGCTGGTTCACAAGCCGGTCGGTGAAATCCAAGCACAATGTGTTTCCCTTGAAGAAATGCGACCAAGAACCAGTGCGTTGGTTGTTTTGGTTGTTTTGGGTCCATAGAGACAGCCACACCATGCCGTATCCCACGCATCCCATGCCATATCCCCCAGCCCCAGCTCCTCGCTCCTCACGTTGTCGAATCGTCGACAATGCAACTTCCCTCGTCCGACTCGTCAGGGCACCTGGTCAGGCCACGGCGGAGATCAGACTGATCAACGTGATACAACTCAAAAAATCGAGTCTCAAGACTCTAAAGAGTCGTCATCCAAAAACTGCAACTGGGGCCCTGGGGCATGGACTTTTGGCAAAGTCTTCCTGAGTTTCAGCTTCAGAACTTTCTCCTTTTTGGCCTTAGTGAATCTTAATCGAACAGTTCTCCAAAAAGCTCACCGAAATAACTGATCCAACTGATCCTCAAGGCCCGAAGGCCCATCTCCAAAGACGAACCACAGAAAATGCTGCAGAGAATGATTTGCCCTAGATTCAGTATGATTCAGTTAGGTGATGTAATGTGACCAACATGCCCTACTCATCCCTACTCTATTTTAATCTGGCTGGCGGCCAATATAACGATGTGCCAAGGGCGAGACTTGATGGTGCGATAGGGCTGCAGCTAAAGCAGAACGCAGCGGTTGCGGTTCACAGGGGGTCTTGGCATAAAGTCCTGGCCGAAAGATCTGACGTTTAACTTGACTTAAGTGCCAGGTTTAAGCGACTAAACACATGCGAAAGCAAGGGCACACATCAAAACGGGCTGAAGATTTTGACAGTTCGCTGCAGTCAGAAAAGTCAGAAGATGTCAGAAGTGAAATCAGATTTGCGAAAGAAGCACTGACAATCACACCTGGCGTCTTCCAAAGGACCATTTCACCAGCCTCTGCCATGACCTGAATCAATTTTGAGACTGGAGTGGACCGAGATTTACCGTGATTGGGTTGGTTCAAAAAGCACTGAAGAGAATCCACAAGGAGTGGCTACACGATGGATTAAGATCTGACGATCAATGTTTGAAGAATGTTTGAAGAATAACATCAGGCGCATTCAACCGAGTCGTTCCCGATGTGCCTGCGACTTGCAAGCTGTCCGTTTTGATTCGCCTCCACCATCAGCCATCAATGTGTTGTGCCCTAGAGGCCCTAGCTTCTCAGTAGAATCTCCAGATGTCAATGAGTCGATGAACCTCCAGTGATTCACCATTTCTTCCAAATACATCCAAATACTAGGCGGCCTGATTTCCACGTCCTCAATGACTGTAGCACTGCGGTCAACCTCAGCCGTGCCATGGGTGATCAACGTTGTCCCATGGCACGTGTGCCCATCCGTGAGCACAGCATGCTCATCAAAGTCCATCAAACTGTGCAAAGTATGTCAGATGAGGTAGTTCCAAGAGCTGAGAGTCGCATGTAAACACGAGATCAAGAAGGTCCCCTCGACATTTGTCAAGAATCCATCACACCCTGGGACCTAACTACCCGGTAACTACCCTTTGCTTCGATGCTTTGAACATGTTTTTGGTTTGACATGGTTGGACCATGTTGGACCTACACCACGCTGGCTGCGCCATTCTCTCATATTCTCTCTGTCCCAAGCGACGCAGGCCAAGTTTGTGGTGAATCCTGTCACAGCGCTCTGCTATGGTTGAACCAAAAGGTACTTATTGGACTTATTGATGGTGTGGGCGACGACTGCGACGACTACTGAAATGTTGGCTTCATTTTGCAGCATTCTGCAGGTGCCAGCTGTATCCTCTCCTTGGTCCTCTTCAGTTTTGTATTACCAAAAAGGTCCCAGTAAAAAAAAAAACTGTCCAAAAGAATAGTCATGACTCATAACGCTAAGAATGACCAGCATCTCCAAGTTGTGATATTTTGTTGAAAAATTGGGGTATCAAATGGTATCAACTTCCTCCATTCGCCAACTTCCTGTCACATCTCGTGTCCATTCGTGTCTTGGGTCACCTGGGTCATGAGTCGAAGCCCCAACTCGTCCCACTTCTTCTTGGCAGCTCTGAAACCTCCCCCAGGCAGACGGATCACGGCCTGGCGCATGGGAGAGATGGGAGAGGAAAACATGCTGAAGACCAAAACATGGAAGCCTTTTAAAAATGTTGTACTGTAACCTTTTAAGACCAAATTAGTAGATGGAGAAATGTCTAGAATCTACAACATGAATCAATATGATGGATGGTTTTTGAGATGGGGATCGGCAAATGCGACTGTTTGGTTTGTCCCCAAGCGATCTTAGTGGCTCTGGCACGGATCAGTACCCACTGAAAACTGAAAAGATATCATAATTATACTATATTATACTGCTAGATCAGGCTGATGAGTACAATACCTGTCAAAAGTTGCACTTTTCCAAACTTGTCCATTATCGTCGTCGTAAACAAGTGTGCTAATTGGTGTTGCAGGGGTTGTGAAAACCAGGTAGTTGATGTAAGCTGCCTCAGCGGTCCATACAGCTTCTTGAAGAATCTCGCCAGACTGGCCTCGCACTTGGAGCTGGCGGAGTTAAACAAAGAAGTGAAACACGCGAAACAAGCGAAACACACATGTCAGTCATGTCTGTAGATGTCCCATGTGTCCCACCTGCAAGGTCCTCCCCGTTGAGAGCAGCTGATAAAGCTGCGAATGCTCTGCCGTCCAAACGACCTCAAGGGGCAGCATACAGCTGCCCCTAAGCCCAGAATCTTCAGCTTCCCGACGTGTTCAGAATTATTTATGTGTACAATAAATATGATAGTATATAATGTTCGTATAATGTCTATCTGTATATTGTGTAAATAAATATCCAAAATTCAATCGGACGGTCCAAGCATTTCAAACATTTACAGATCGATGATCGTTTCGGGGCACCTCTATAAGATCCTGCACAGGCTTCGCAGCGCACAGCTCTGTTCCACTTGTATCCCTTTTCACTGACCTCGGTGAGGGGTGAAAATCACGTAAGAAAAAGTTGAGCTTCCGGCATTGTTCCACTTGCATTTCCCCAAACTTTCCAAACTGGTTGATGCATCCTCTTTGCAAGGCGGCCGATACCATGCCCCCATCCCATCCAACATCCTATCCATCTCCAGGTGTTTGATGGTATTTAAACAAAACACATCCATGATCTCATCTTCTTCCCAATGACTCAACGGCTCAACTGACAGCCATCCACAGCAGGCCTTGAGTCCTCTTTGAGACTTACTTTTGTCCTGGCGAGATCTGCGACTGTCCAAATTGCCATTGAAAGCCTCAGCCCCAAGATCCAAGAGGCAGTCCTCCAGGCTACTCGGTGCTGATCCCATCGCATGGGTCTCGGTGTTCAGATGTGTTCAGTGTTCATTGGTGATCTATGGATCCATGATGTATAAAGATTTGGTGCTCAGAAACATCGCCTGAGCTCTGAAAGATTCGCTGTATTGCAAAAAGATGCTGCCAAAGACAGTTGAGGCTGGGATCGTGCTCTCCATTGACACATGGCTTTCAGGAAAAAAATAGGCGTGAAGCTGAAGAGTGTTCGATGGCAAAAGGGTTGTCACAGACCATGGGTTGCTTCAGTCAAGTGGCCTTAGCCCAGGCTTTGTGCACAGAACTCGGTGTTCCACCAGCAGGTACAGCTTCCAGGAAACTGTCTGGTGAAGGATCATCCTGTTCACATCACCAAAGTCTGGCAGGAAACCTCCCAGACACCAATGGATCTCAATTCTGCAATCGCAACTTCGAAATCCATTTCATATATTTCAGATTATTTCAGATGCTTTTGCAGCTTCATTCGGTATCATTTCTATGTTCCCCTGGTGTTCCCCTGGGGCCCCTTTGACAACACCAGGAATCACATGGAATCACCATCTCACCATCTGCGCCTGTGCTTGGAGCCGCAACCGCAGCAAGCCCAAAGTGCCGAGTGCCGTGGCAGCGAGGCGCTGATGCTCAGACGGGAGCACCTGCACGGCGGAAATTTCAACAGAAATGTCAGAAAATGTCAGAAAGGATAGAAAGAAAATTGAAAGAAATTTGAAAGGGATAGAAATAATGGATGCGGTTCATCTGCTTTTCATGTGCTTTTCATGTGCTTTTCATGTCATGGCTGTGAGAGTTTCTTGCAATATCTGCGTGTAAGGTGACTAAGCGCAAATATCAAGCGTTCTACATTCTTCCAGAAATATTAAACCAATACCAAGTAAAGTGTCCGCTCAAAATATACCCAAAAAAAACATCAAAGTCATCAAGATCATCAATAAAATTTAGATTGTCATCCAAACATAATAACTTATATAATTATCATCCATTGTCATCCATTGTCATCCATTGTCATCCGTTGTCATACATTATCATCCATTATCATCTAATCATAATAACAATCATAATAACAATCATAATTATCATCCATTATCATCCATTATCATCCATTATCATCCATTATCATCCATTATCATCCATTATCATCCATTATCATCCATTATCATCCATTATCATCCATTATCATCCATTATCATCTAATCATAATAGCAATCATAATTATCATCCATTATCATCCATTATCATCTAATCATAATAACAATCATAATTATCATCCGTTATCATCCATTATCATCCATTATCATCCATTATCATCCATTATCATCCATTATCATCCATTATCATCCATTATCATCTAATCATAATAGCAATCATAATTATCATCCATTATCATCCATTATCATCTAATCATAATAACAATCATAATTATCATCCATTATCATCCATTATCATCCATTATCATCCATTATCATCCATTATCATCCATTATCATCCATCATCATCCATTATCATCCATTATCATCCATTATCATCCATTATCATCCATTATCATCCATTATCATCCATTATCATCTAATCATAATAACAATCATAATTATCATCCATTATCATCCATTATCATCCATTATCATCCATTATCATCCATTATCATCCATTATCATCCATTATCATCCATTATCATCACTTAAAAACTAAACATAATAACAATAATTGTCATCCAAACATTGCATGGTTTAATTTGCACCTCCTCGAGGCGAAGCCGCAACAGCAAGGCCTCCATGACCTGTGCGGAGCCCGACCGCGGTGAGTGGCCAAGGAGCTCCAGGGCGGCCAAGGTCAAGGGATCCTTCAGAGCTCGGCAGAGCTCGGCAGCTTGTTTAGATCTGTCATGATCTATGAAAAATCTGGAAAAAATGCTGGAAAAAATGTTGGAAAAAACAGATCTGTTGATCTGTTGATCTGTTTGATATCCAAATCTCCAATGTGATCCATGCTGTCCTCCCTGCTCTGGTGGAGCTGCAAGCTGCGACATTTGGGCAGAAAATTCTGCCACAGTTCCAAGGATTTGGGTGCTACACTCAGGCACCTGGCAGCCAAGTAACAAAACACTATGGCTCTGGGTGGAGCAAAAAATACATCACATACTGTGTACATCTGTGTACATTGTAGTCCTATGATAGTCTATGATAGTCTATGATAGTCTATGATAGTCTATGATAGTCCTATGATAGTCTTTGTAGTTGTTGTAGATTTATCTTATTCGTTTCTTCATCTTTCAGATGATCACAGAAAATGCCACATCTGTACATTGCTGCGCCTGGCAACCAGCATCCTTGCTCGGGCCAGACCTGGAAATGGTAACATGGCCGAGGTTTCCACCTGAGCTTCAAAAAATGAGAGATGCATAGAATTACTGTATATAGAATGGCAGAATGGCACGAATCATTGCCCCTGGAGACCACCAACTTATGGATGTTGGGCCACTCCACTCCCGACTCCCGCCGAAGCACCTGTGTCACTCTTCCATTCGCTTTCTAGCAGGAAATGATGCACCGGCCTTTGGTGCCCCGGCTTGACAACGGCGATTCTGACAAAGTCACGGATGTCCGGAAATAAAGTCCTGAAAAGGAAACAAACCAAAAAAAACATACCTGAGCTGCTCTACAAATCAGATTCACATCTACTGTCCAATGGATTTTACGTTGTTTGTCCAAACACTGCCAATCAAGAGGATTTCATGGCAATATGTCAATCTTGCCATTCCATGAAATGAGCAGCCTGTCCCCGTCTCAAGTATCCTCTATGCCCATGAAACGCACGAGGGTTCCCTGATTCTTGATCTGCACAACTCGATAGTCATAAACTTCAGAAAACCTGTGAAAACCGGTGTATCTCCCAAGATGTCCCAAGGTTTTTCGTAAGAAATCGAAACTTCGGATGCCAATCGACTGGCAGTGGGCACAGCTGCACCTCATCAAGGAGCTGCGTAGGCCATCACCCTTCTTCAGCTGGGCAGCCCAGTTGCACAAGGCCAAGGCACAGCTGGCACCTCCCGATGGATCTCCCAATGGGGATATGGAAGATATGTTGCTTAAAGATGTGGCAGATATTGATAAAGTTATAAAACATTATAAATATGTGTATATATATATATATAAATATATAGCTATAAAAGCAGAAATGATACACATTGGTATACACAAGATTACACAATTCACCATTGGATTGCACATCATGAAGTGTGCATCCACAGTTATCTGAATCTGCCGTTGTTCATGCAACATGCTATCGCATGCTATAACAGAATGTGTGACCCAACGCAACTAGTGGTCAAATGTGTTTGCAGAATATGCCCGCCCCCGCCCGTCCCAAAAATTTATGTACATCCTTCTGCACGAGAGATGCTGAGCACAGCACATGTGATCTCATGCCATCCAGGTTCTTTCAAAGGCAATGACAAAGCCTCCAGGGCAACAAAGGCATCATGATTTCCACGTCATCTATTCGAAACATGTTTTTTGGAACTATTTGATGTAAACATGAAAACCCTTCCAAATTCACTTGATACCATGTCTACCAGTTATGCAATTGAGACCTCTGGTCCTGGGGCCGCATTCCCAAATTTCACCCGACATGCAAAATTGTCAAAATGGTCAAAATGGTTCTGCTTATCATGATGTCACCAAGCCGATTGCGACTCGACAAAGGACACGCCTGTGGTAATCGATGGAGCATAATGTTGCTGAGCTTCCCTGCAACGGCCAAGTCTCCCAAGACCTGAAGGATAGTGCAGATAGACCAGACATTGCCAGACATTAAAAACATTCAATGACCATTCCGACCATGACTCACTGATGACTCACTGATGACTCACTGATGACTCACTGATGACTCAGTGATGACTCACTGATGACTCCCTGATGACTCCTGAACGTCAAAATACAAACGATACAAACGACTGCAACCTTCAACGCTGCCTTGGCAGACTCTGCTTCTGCGGAAGGATCGGCACATTTCTCCAAGACACCTGAAGTGTGTTCCAAGCGCGCTGAGACTTGGCGGAAATCTGAACAAGTTTGAATAAGTGTTTGGGGTTGTTGAAAACTTATACCGTACTATACCCCGCATTTTTTAAGCGTGTTAATTGAAAGCAATCTCCCAAAAAGACTAAAAAGTGCAGAGCAAATCAAGCAAATTTAACGCTTGATCTTTTCTCATAGCTGACATCAGCCTTGACTTTAGCACGCCAAACAGCAAGCTTTGTATTGTCATTACCAGTTGACAACTCCGAGAGTGAACATGACCAGAACTATCGGGAGTGCCTTGCCAAAACTCCGGTGGCTGTGCCAATTCCAGCTTCGCCAGTGGCCATTGATTGGAGCTCAAATGCAAAAAGGCCAGCCCCTGCGGGAGCTCCTGTCACTTGGTGTCACTTGGTGTCACTTCCGTTTCAAGCTGACACCAAAGCACGCTCAGAGATCATGATATAGTCGGTAATGTATGCTGCCTAATAGTAAACCCCCCCTAAATAAAATATTTTTAAAAAAAAGTCAGGGGAGGGGTCAGCATTCCAATAGTAAATTTTTGGAACCTTATGGCTGGGATGGAGGCGAAGGAGGAGGACGAGGAGGAGGAGGAGAAGGAGAAGAAGAAGGAGAAGGAGAAGGAGGACACAAAATTGGAGTTGCGGAAAAAAGTTTCCACTATTGCCATGCCTGGTGCAGGTTTGTTATTGCTATTCTGGGGCTTGCAAAGGGGGTACCCTTTGTGGACCTGTTTTCTTGCTTTTTTTAATAAGGGTTTTATAAGGGAATCAGCTGTTTGGTAATTGGATCAGATTTCTGGAATCTAAGCTTTTGCTAATCAAAAGTGAAGGCTGCTTTGAAAAGGATTTGCTTTACTTGACTCTTTTGGCAATACTAAAAGTAAATGGAGCTAATTGACTTTTAGTATTGGAGAAAAAATTGGAGTTGGGAAAAAATGTTTCCACTATTGCAATGTTGGGTCCACTATTGGCCATGCCCTCTGGACAAGGTCTGAACATGACTCTTTTGGCAATACTAAAAGTAAATGGAGCTAATTGACTTTTAGTATTGGAGAAAAATTGGAGTTGCGGAAAAATGTTTCTACTATTGACAAGATATCACTATTGGCTAGACAACATTATAGTGGTTGTCAAGTCATGTGTACAAATTGTATCAAATTGTATCAAACTGGAAAGCGGGAAGTGTATCAAAGGAAGTTTGCCTCAAAGGCAACCTGAACGGGTGCCTCTTCGTTGCCACGTTGTACATCAGATGGAAACAGCCAAGTGGCATAGACTGCAGGGCCAGTCACGGGTCGCAAGCGTACCACAGTCACCACGGACCTCCCCTTTTCAAACTCACCACTTGAATGGATGTTGTGGCTTCTCCACTAAAGGAAATGCTCAAATCAGCAAATGAAATGTGATCCAATACCACAAACTGAAAATGATGTGCGCACCATCTGTTTTTTTGGACGTTGGGACTGGGAGGGTTTTGGCCAAACGATGTTGTTTTACATCCCCATGAGGCTCTCCAAAACATCTGCATCCTAAACCCTTGCCTGGCTCGGTACCCCGAAGTTCCAGCTCAACTTGCGCAGGGGTCCCATCAGTCACATGGATATTGATCACCACATTTCCGCGCCAGTACTTTCTTGGCACCTGCCAGGTTGCATAACATGGCAACATGGGAATACTTCATGCGATCGTATGCGATCGTGCTACATGAAATCAGCCTTGAAACCCAACAGCCATCCAC